CAAAGAGAAGCGAAACTTGGTCTAAGGATTTTGTTTCCTACATGTTAAACTAATCGATATAAAAGTTGAGATTAAAAAGTAACACTTTTACTTAAAATTAAACTTTAGAAATGTGTTGACTTTTCAGGATTCGAATAAAGTCATCTCCCACGTTCTTACCTAGTATACAAAATACTATTACTTAAATTCCAAACATTAGGGTTAATAATCCAAAGTGTTACTGAACTTTGCAAAAAATTTTTATCGGGCCACTGAACTTTAAAAATCACGCAAGTCATCATTGAATTTTGTAAAAGGTTTACACAATATCACTGAATTTTAAAAATCACTATATTCATCACTGAATTTTGCAAAAAGTTTCTAAGGGGTCACTGAACTCATTAATGGTTTCCAAATCTTTTCTCCTAAATCTACCACTCTTTGTACTTCTCATTCATTATTTCATTTAACAAACCAATACCATATTACCTATCCAAAATTAACATGTAGTGTCTATAGCTCCACCATGCAATCCAAAAATATGGCTCTATTTAGTCGTTTTGTTGACTAACTTTTTACTTCCTCAACCATTAGGCCAGTTCGGGAAGGTCATGTTGTTTTGTTGAAAGCCTGAATCGAGAATACACGAAATAACAAGAGTCTCTATTTTCCCCGTTTGATCCAATCTATACCCCTTCCTCAATTGTTTTTATATAATAGTATATTAAATCATTTCAAAGCATTGGCACAACAACCTATACCTCATTATATGTCATGCATGAGAGCAAGATTTGCTGAATCTGATAACACATAATTGTACAAGGGCTAAAGAGTAGACAGCTCACTCTACAGGTACATGATATTACATCCTTTCTATTCCTTGGAATTCATTGGACGATTTTTCATGTGCAAGAATATTCGTTTTTTAGCTTGAATTGTGACTACTTTGGGGCTTGGCGCTATAAAACCGTACATGATATTTTCACCTGTCACAGCTCCTTGATCGATTGATTCTACAAGTGTACAAATTGTGTACGATAAACTTGACTTTTTGAGTTCAAACATCATTCCACAGTTACTAAGTATTTACTATCAATATTTATTCCAATTCTAGTTTCAATCTAAATTAATGTAGTAACAAATTATAAAAATCAATGTTTTAAATTACATCTAATTTATACTAAACCAATCTAAATTAACTTAACTAGCGTGGAGAACTATTGAAATTAAGTGGTTAGGAATTTCAAATTCACCTGGGTCAATTTGATATTCATTCAATTATATCATTCAACACTTTTTTCATACGTATTAACAAATGAATTAACCAATTTTAGCTAGTAATTTCTCTCAAGTAAAACTACGCTATTTCACATGTCCGAACTCATTATATTTCTATGTAAATTCATACATATGTAAAAATATTCAAGAGCAGAAATTCTACCAAGATTCAATAATTTATAATCTCTCAATCTCTTATAACACCCGTGTCACTTATTATACGAACTAGACAAACATATCTTCTCTCGATTTCCCCTTAAATCAAATAATTTGAGATCAGGCAATTGAATATAATTAAAACACAATAAGCAATCTTCCAAAATTTACCAACATTATTCTTTGATAATATATAAACATAAAATTATTCTATTTTTATTAAATAATCAAATTTCATTAAATAAAATCTTATAATGCAATTTTCCAAATTTTCAAATCATACATATTTTTTAATTTTCTATTTTGAGAAATAATTTTTCAAAATGACATACAGAATACATTAGGAATCTTAAAACAAATTTTCAGAATAGAAAATTGAAAATAAGCTCAATACAAAACTGAAAATTAATACACAAAAACCAAATAGACCCCATGTACGTAGTTCATTAAGTTATTCCAAAAAGCTATTTTTGATGATCAAAGTAATTATTGATATTCACATTTATCACTCATTCAATTCTTTTGAACTCGTTGGATTCAAGAATCTCCTCCCTTTCAGCTTCGATTGTGACCACTGCCTGATTTATTGAGATTAAGAGTTCAAGTTAACAATGAACTCTTTCTGGCGTCTTTGGTTCTGGTACGTACAGCTGCAGTCTTGAACCTAAGAATCTGACCTTTTTTCTTTCCCTTTTCAATTATGAGTAGAGAATTTTTCTCACTATTGTATATATTTGTACGTGTTAGGGGGGTAGAGACGGGATAAGCTCATGTATGGCTACCGAAAATCAGAAGCAAGAAGAAGTGCTAGAAAATATGAGGAGGCTACAGCTTGATGTTGCTGTCAGAAGCATTCAGTGGAGCTATGCAATCTACTGGTCCATTTCATCAACAAAACCTGGGTAAAGTTTCACTTCTACCCCACCCACTACCCTGATTTTTCTTCTTGCTTTATTTTATCATTTTTGTTGCTCAAGAAACGAGAATATTTTTCAATAAGTAGAGGTATCATCGATTGAGGTGTATTAAGCGAAAGATGACTTAAGTGGTCTAGAAATTAAGTATATAGTATAATTAGGCTCTCTACGGTTCAACATTTTAGAGCTAAATTTTAGATTCTTTTTTTAGTCTTGTTTTGTATAATCTACCTTGTCAAATATGCCATTAATGTTCTTACACGTGCCAATGGAATTTTTCAGAATGTTAGAATGGGGTGATGGGTATTACAATGGAGAAATTAAAACCCGGAAATCGGTTTAGGCAGGAGAGTCACTGGCCGACCACCCCGTGTTACAGAGGAGTGAGGAACTGAGGGAACTATATGAGTCCCTCTATGGTGGTGAAACCAAGCCACAAGCAGCCAAAAGGTTTTCAGCTGCATTATGCCCTGAAGATCTCACAGATACGGAGTGGTATTACTTGGTTTGCATGTCTTTTGTCTTTAACATCGGCCAAGGGTAATTCTTCTTTTCCAATTTATGATAGTCGACTTGATCATCAGATTATTTTCTATATATACTAATTCTTCAATTATCCTAGTAGCTAAAATGGGTGAAGTCCTTTTCATTATAGATTTATGCGTGAAAATTTTTGTGACCATATTCTACCAATATTTTTTCTAGATTATGACGACTCCGTTTACGTCATATGTCGCTAAGTTGAGGCTCGACTTGTGGGCTTATAAGTAGTTGGCCACATCAGCCTTAAGGTCTGTTTTTACAGAGAGGAAGTCCAATGTGATTATAAGTCCATAATTCAGGCCTTCCATGAGTGAAGTGGGACTCAGAAGTAACCGTTATATTGGTTTTACATAGGCATGGATCTTTTTTCTGTTTTGCTGAGACCATGAGTTGTTTCTTTACTGCAGAATAAACAAGTGATTCACTTATGTTTGTAGAAATCAAAATGTACTAAACATAAGTATTGATTTTGTTAAGGTTGCCTGGAAGGACATTAGCAAAGAACGAAACTATCTGGCTATGCAATGCTAATAGTGCAGACACCAAAGTTTTCTCTCGTTCAGTTCTTGCAAAGGCAAGTAAAGATTAGTCAATATCTTCATTCTACATAAGATTAGCCTACATAAGATGGTTGTCTTAATATCTGACTTCTCTTTGCTCTTTAATCTCGAAATCATGTGACTGGCTGGACTTGAATTGCTTTCTTCAGAGTGCATCAATCAAGGTATTCATCTATTTTGTTTTTGCCCAGCTTTGTATTACTCGTGCTTTTAGTATGAAAGTTGAGTTTTGTGCACATTCCAGTAAATTACAGTCGACTACATGAATTCTTTTTCATCAACATGCTTCATTATCATATTCGAAAGAAATATGGTGCTAATTTTTGACTTGCAGACAATAGTATGCTTTCCACACTTTGGAGGTGTAGTAGAGCTGGGAGTAACTGATCTTGTAAGCAACTCTCAATTCATTTCTTCATTTTAATAGATTTACTATGGTTGCTGAATTTACTTGCCTGCCTAATTTTGATATGTATTTTGAAGGTCCTAGAAGATCAGAATCTCATTCAGCACGTAAAAACCTGTTTCTCGGCAACCCCGGTTCCCATTTTTTCCAAGATTCCAAGTGAGCAAGTTCGTTTAGAGCTTGATCGTGCTAATATGACCGAAACTGGCTGTGATCCACCTTTGGATAGTGGAGAAGTATACATCTGTTCTCCCGACTGTTGGGAATTGATTTAAACATGCACAGCGAAATTTAACAGATTTCAATTCCCATTCAGGATTCAGCTTTGTATTTAGATAAAAACTGTGATGAGAAATATACCTTTTGTGTGATTTGCAAATTCTTTCGCGTTATTCCTTTCCAGCAGCTTGAATCTGCCTCCCACAGCTGTCCAATTGTGCAGCCTCCAATGAAATCCACACAGAGAGAAAACAGCAACTGCTAGGGTTTCTTTCTTGTGCTAGCAAGAATAATGAATGACTTAATGGACCTCAACCGACAACTGCTCTGATAGTTTTGGAGCCACTCGACTGAGAAACAAATCAGATGTATTCGAAGGGATTGAGGGGGAAGTCCCTCAACTGCAAAGCAGGAAATTTAAGGGTGATAGAATCAGCTGTTGGGTTAACACTTCGATGAGCGATTCTGTATCTCAAACCTACGAAAATCCTAAAGGTATTTCCCCCATCTCAAAAGACACCCAAGAATGCAGTCAGCAGAAAGACGACAAGATTCACTATCAGAGTGTTCTTTCGACTCTTTTGAAGGGTTCAAATCAGTTCATTCTGGGACCGTACTTCAAACGCGGTAAGAGAGAGTCAAGCTTTGTTAACTGGACGAAGGACGGGTTGTCAAGGGCTAAGACGGTTCAAACTCGAACTCAACAAAAATTGTTAAAGAAAGTACTCTTAGAAGTGGCAAGAATGCATGAAAATTGTCAGCTAGAATCGATTAAAAACAACGGAAAAAGAGAGAGCCCTTCTACTTCCGAAGTAGGCGAAACTTATAGAAACCATATCTTGTCAGAAAGAAAACGCCGAGGGGAACTTAACGAAAGGTATTCGATTCTTGGATCACTAATTCCGTCTGGTGGCAAGGTACTCAAAACTCAGCTTTCGTTTAGCATGTTCGGAATCGTGGCCTATTTTCAAGACATTTCTTTGTTTACCACATTGCAGGTTGACAAGGTATCGGTACTTGATAAAACGATAGAGTATCTGAGAGAGCTCGAAAGAAGAGTCAAAGAGCCAGAACTGAGCAAACGAGTCCTCGAGCTAGAGTCGAGAACGAGAAGTAAACCTCACGATGACATTGAGAGGACCTCGGAAAATAATGGACCTAACCAAGTTAATAATATCAAGAAACCATTGAGAAACGAGAGGAAGGCTCGCAACATGGATGGGTCGAGAGTTGGAAATAGTCAACATCTGTCGAGAAATTCTTCGACTGTTAACATCACAATTGATGCTGATGATAAGAACGTGTCGATCGAGATTAAGTGTTCCTGGAGGGAGTCTATGCTGATTGAAATCTTGGAAGCCATTAACGAACTGCAAATGGATTCATTGAGTGTTCAATCTTTCAACGCCAATGGAATTCTCTCATCGACTATAAAAGCTCAGGTTTGGTCTCATAATACCACCTTGAAAGTAGACTGTAGTGGCATATTTGATAGAGATTATTAGATATTACTCGACAATTTTATTAAACAAAAATATGTTATAAGCTAAAATTTTGTTAATTATGTCGTCGAGTTCTATCAAATACTGTGTACAAAACATGCATTAAAAAAACACGCGTCTTCATATTTTATGATTTACATTGACTGATAAAATGAATTTCAGTTTAAGGGATCAAAAGTTGCATCAGAAGTTGTGATCAGACAAGCAATTCAGAAAGTTATGAGCAAGGTTTAAGGATTATCCTCGTACCAAGATTATATGTTGCCCCTGTCATCACACGTGATGAAACAGGAATTTGTATTTTGTGATTTCACTAGGTAGTTATTTTTGCTCAAATAAAATTTTATTTGTCTTTCAACTAGGTCAATTATAAAAAAAAATGTTCGTTAGTTACGTAGTGGTATTGTATAGTGAATAAAATTGTAACTTTTTTTCATTTTTTAACACGACATAGTCTTATTTAACGAATTGCATGAAATCAAGTCGAATTATTTTTTAGCCAGATGCATTTCATGTCTTGATCGAACTCTATGCAAACTGAGCTTAAATCAAGTTTGAACTAATCGAATGGGTTCGAAATATGCTATTAAATTTCAATTAGTTGAGGGAAGAAAAATATTATTATGATATAATAACATCTTAAGAATTGATCATTTCAACATGTTACAGTAGCTAAAATGAAAGAATAATTTAGAAATAAAATCGAGTTTGTCAATGAAACCACAACGATTTGAGTAATGCTATTCGTAGTCGCTCACTGCGATAGTCGTCCTTCGTGGCATACACATGACATGTGATTATTCGATACATTAATGTGGTAGTTTTTTTATTCATTAATGCATCAAATAACCACCTGCCATGTGTATGCCACGTAGGGCGACTGTCGCAGTGAGCGACTGCAAATAGCATTATTCCAGCGATTTACAATTTTTGAGCATACGTCGACGTATTTATCTACTTCCAATGTCGCATCATCCATCTTTCCAATCCTCCCCATCCTTTTCCATTGCACGCTAAAACCTCTCTCTCTCAACACACAGTAAATTATGCTTTTAACTCTCTCTCACAACCACTTCCTCCGCCAGTTTCTCTCTCTAATAAACTCAAACTTGCCGCCCCATTCCCGTTCCCATTTCTACACCACCACCAACTTTGCTTCAAACCGCTACTTTTGACCACCACCACCAGTGTCTCCACTATTGGCCCTGACGGAAAATATTATCCAACCCCATCAGATGACGACCCTCCTGCAGCCCCTGAGGATTCCATGCACGGTGTCAACAAGTCCCAGCAAATTCATCGCAGGCAGCCCGGGCCCGCAAGATTCAAGAAGAAGATTTCAAGAAAAACCAGCCCGTTTTCCTCAAAGCCCTCGAAGAAACTGATGATAATCCCATTGCTCTTAACAGTGAAGATTCTGGGGATGATCTTTTTGGTGAAATAGACAAGGCCATTGCTTTAAAACGCCAAGAGTTTATTAAGAAGGGACTTATTAAGCCGGGTCCTAATGGGAAGCCTAAGCCGGAGCTCGAGGGAATTGAGGAATTTGTTGGTAGAAGTGGTGAAAAAATATCACTTTTTTACTCAAATAAAAAAAATTTCATTACTCTCACAATATATAACTAGTACAATAGAGCAATTTTCTCTTAATCAATCTCCTATACAGGCATGAAAATTTTTCTACTACCCGATAATTCAAAATACATACAAATACATCTATATATAGAAAATTTAAAAAAAGTTCAAGATGATCAAATAACTTTCTTCAGCTTTCTTTATTGGAAGAAGAGTTCAAAACGAATAAGTAACTTCCACCTCATTTGATAAAAGAAGAGTTCAAAATAATTAACTTCCACCTCCTTTAATAAAAGAAGAGTTCAAGATGATTAAGTAACTCTTTAATAGCTCTCGACCAATGACGAGTTTTTCCTTAACCATGTAAGATTCTTCCATCCGATTAAAAACTTTTGCTTAACTAAGTTGAATTTTGACCAAGTCATATATTCATCATCTTCACACTTCTAAAACTTCTTGATGATTTTGCAACTTCTTATTATTTTTAGAATTTCCTTGGTCAAGTTTACTCTACATTCAACATCTCCCTCAAACTTGACAATTCCAAGCATAAATCTCGGTCTAGTAAGCACATCATGTTTAAGTGGTTTGGTAAAAATATATTCTGCTTGATCATTTGTTCTACATAGTAATAAGTCCACTTCTTTCATCTTTATGTGTTCTCGAATAAAAGGAAGACGTGTCTATATGTTTGCTTCTTTCATGATAGACTGGATTCTTTGCAAGTGCAATTACTGATCGGTTATCAATATAAATCTCAGTGGATTTTTCTTAAGAAAATCCCAAATATGTCAGCATATTGCGCAACCAGATACCATAATACACAGCTGAACTTGCAGCAGCATACTTAGCTTCACAGCTAGATAAAGTAACAATTGGTTGATTTTTGGACGACCATGTGAATGCAGTTTCTCTAATAAAAATTACGAATCCACTTGTACTTCTCCTTTCATCTATATCTCTTCCCCAATCACTATCTAAATAACCAATGAGCTTTAAATTATTAGTAGATGTATAAAGTAAGTCTTCATTGATTGTACCTTTAAGATAGCGAGTATTCTTTTTGCTGCATTAAGATGAGACTGATATGGTGTCTCTATGTATCTGTTGATCAATCCTACGCTATATAGTATATCAAGTCGGATGCATGTTAGATATCTAAGGCTTTTAACCAAACTCTTGAAATAAGTAGGATCAACATCACCATCTTCATTTTTGTGTAGTTCCAGTACGCTTTCAACTAGAGTAGTAACCGAATTACACTTCTCCATTTCAAATTTCTTTAAAATATATGCTACGTAGGTACTTTTAGAAATAAAAATCCCATCTTCTTGTTGCTTAACTTCAATCCTAAGAAAGTGCGCCATCAATCCAACATCAGTCATTCAAATTCTTTCATCATATTTTCTTTGAAGGCTTCAAACATTGGATGGATTGTTACCCGTAAAAATCAAATCATCCGCATATAAACAAATAAATAGTATATTGCCATCTTGTTCTCGTTTTACATATACTGCATGTTTATATGGACATTGCATGAACCTATTCTTTTTAAAGTAATTGTCAATACTGGTAATCCATGCTCCGGGGCTTGCTCAAGTCCATAAAGAGCTTTTTTTAATTTATAAACTTTATTGAGTTAACCCTCTTGTACGTATCTTGGTGGTTGCTTGACATAAATGTCTTCTTCAAGATATTCATTTAGAAATGCTGTCTTGACATCAAGCTGATAAAATTTTCATCTGTGTTGCCAGTGAAATCAACAATAGAATTGTCTCCATGCATGCAACAGGTGCAAATATTTCTCCACGGTCAATTCTTGCTTTTTGAGAGTAACATTGTGTAACCAACCTTGCTTTATACCTTTGAATTTCGCATTGTATATTCTTTTTAATTTTGTACACCCCATTTTACTCCAATGGCCTTTTTCCTTTAGGTAAGTCGGTGAGTTTTCATCTGTTGTTCTTCTCAATAGAACTAACTTTTTCATCCATTGCTTTTTGCTATCTTTTATCTGTTGAAGCTTCTTCAAAAGAAAGTGATTCACTATCAGCTAATAAACAAAACAATTCATAGTGTTCACCTTATTGCTCAGTAGCATCATAAATATCTCTCAAGCTTCTCATCTTTCTCAGCCTTTCTTCAGAGGATGATGCTGATGAATCTTCTGATGTTGTGGATGAGCCAGATACATCTGTTTGTGTGTCACTTGCTTCATTGTTTGGTGGTTGACATTGATGAAGTTCTTCTTGCTCACGAATCAAATGAACTTGCTTGACGTGTTTAGCATTCTCCCAATTCTTAGCTTTATATTTTTCAAAGATTACGTCTTGACTCATGATAATATCTTTTGTGATGGGATTGTATAACTTGTATCTCATTATCCTATCACCATAGCCAATATACATTTTTGTCATTTGTCATCAAGTTTAGTTCTTCTTGCTTCTGGAATCTTCACATAAGCTATACATCCAAATACTCGAAGGTGATTTGCACTAGGCTTATATGTGCTCCAGGCCTCTTCAGCTGTTACTCCACGAACATTTTTGGTAGGACATCGATTCAATAAATATATTGCAGTGGAAACTATTTCAACCCAAAATCCTTTAGGTAATTTTTTTTATCTTTTAACATACTTTTTGCCATATCGAGAATTGTGCGATTCTTTCGTTTAGCTATCCCATTCAATTGGAGAGTATAAGTTGGTATGAACTGTTGCCTGATGCCATTCAAACTACAAAAATCTAGAGATGGCAAAAAAACTCGTTGCGACAGATTGGCGTTGCTCCCGTCCCGTGAAGAAGAAGAAAAATGTTAGTTTGAGCATTATTTGCTTTGAATTTTAAAATTTAAATTTTAAATTTTATTCTTTAATAATAGTAACTTGAAATTTTGAAAATGTAAAAAAAAAAAAAAAAGGCAACAAATAGGACAAGACGAGATGGGGCACTGACCCACTGCCATCCCTACAAAAACCTTTGAATATGTCAAAAGTATATTCTCCTCCCTAATCTGATTGTAACATCTTTATGTGATAGCTACTTTGTTTTTCAATATTCTTGAATTCTTTGAATACATTCAACACCTCTTACTTTCTTTTAAGAAAGATACTCATGTCTTTCTACAATAATCATCAATAAATGTAAGAAAGTACATGTTTTATCCGTTTGATATTGGTTTCAACGAACCACATATATCTGTATGGACCAACTCAGTGGCTTTTTTGCTCTCCAACTTGTTTCCCTTGCATTCTTGCTAAGAACACAACTTTCACAAATTTCATTCGGATGATCAATATTTGGCAGCCATTTCAGCATCTTTTTCTTTGACAACAATCTTAGTCCTTCAAAATTTAAATTTGTCCAGGTCTCAAGTGCCACAACCAATTATTATCATTTGTAATAGCACTTAGACATTTTGGTGAGTCATGAGGAATGTTTAAAGCAAACATTCTATTTTTAGATATTCGTACTTGGGATATTGGATTTTCAAGATCATCTTTGATTATCAGGTAGAAGTCTTTTACGCTTATGTTGTATCCCTTTTCTAGGAGTTGTCCTAGACTTAATAAATTATGCTTAATATCCGGCATGTAATAGGCATCACTAATATAACTGTAACCGCCATTATTGAGCTTTTTTAAAATGTTATATCTTCTTTTTACTGGAACTTTGGAGAGGTCGCCGAAAGAGACATGTCCATGCGGAGTTTCATCAAACTCCATGAACGTATGCTTTCTACCACACATGTGATGTAATACATTAAGTTTTTTTTTTTAAAAGAAAAAAAAAGTCAAACAAAAAAAGATAGTATAATGAGGTGGTGGAATTGGATTGATATCAATCCGATTCCACCCAAAACCAAATTAATAACATATAACACACACAACACAC